AATAAGAAAATAATAAAAAGAAATTAGTTTATAAATACAGAAAATGAATATTTTTCTTTAATAATGTCTATTTTATAAATATAATCTCAAAAAAATAACAATATAAAAGTATTTTATTACACAGTATGCAACACTGCTTAGCGACTGGGCAAGGCGAGCCTCCAAGGGTGCCTTGTCGCCTAGGCATCACCTTGACAACTATGCTTGAGAAAACACTCAATGTTTGCACTAACTAATTTTTGTTGTTCTAGGTCCCACATTGCTCAATAATGGGAATGACGGCCTTGCCTTCGTCTATAAAAGGATAGGTAACCAACGCAAATCAAACCTAGCAATTAAATGAGGCCCGTGCCTTATTTTTTGTCCCATAGGACTAAATCCTAGCCAAGCCCAATTTAACTTGCACTTGTGCAATATTTTTTTTTGCATGTATTACAATTTATTTAACTTGAAAATTTTAAATAATTAAATTTTTATTATTTGATGTCATGGACCAAAGTTATTATTCATTAGGTCAAGAAAGCCCTTAAGCCCAACCAGGCCCCATGTAGGGCCAAGTCTGGGCTTGTAATCTGGGCCCGGGCTGGGGCCAGACCTAGGTTAAAGCCCTTATCATTGGTGTGAAACACGGCCCAGCCTAACCCATGATCACACCTAATTAAAATCACTCTTCTGTTTTGACAAATTTCAAAAAAAAAAGGCAGAAACAATCTTACAATTTACAATATAATTCACAATTTGGTTCGCTTCATATTTGTTAGTTTACAATATGGTTACCATTATCAGAAATCTGAGTAGTGCAACCTCGGTGATTTCTAAGTACTTCTCTAAACTATGTTTTTTTATCAAAAAAAGACCTGAGTGAACACCATGTGATTTTTTGTTTACCTATCTGAAGTCACAAGAAGCATAGCAGCTGGCAATTTGTAAAGATTTGGTGCTCCAGAAGCCCCAGTTTGAAACAGTGGTGCAACACCCTGCGAGGACAGAACCACACCAGCATCTGTAGACACCAACAGATCCGAGAGGCTCTGAACAGTATCCTCTGGAGTAAACAGAAGAATTACAGAGTCGCCAGACAAGAAGAGCCTATAAAGGACAAAAAAGTGAATTACCACCTCTGGACAATTGATAAAAAAAACTCACCATCTCTGGAAAATCACAAATAATGACAATCCACACAGCTAACAAATGGATAGTTCTTTAAAAAAAATGTCGTTATTCACCTAGCAGAAAGAGGAATGCCTTCCCTTGCAGATATAATTGGTGCAGCCACAGCAGCCAATGCATCTTTTATACCATGGATATCAGAAAATGCTTTACTACAAAGGATGAGCGATGAGTGTTCAACATCAGCAGCTAGAAATCCAGTATTCACTTGTGAACCAAGACCAATAACCTCTGCAGTATTTTGACTGTGACAGCATATGTAACAATGGAACAGCATTAGGAGAGTCAAGTGAAGAAAAAGGAAGCAAGGATAGTAGTATAGTACCACAAAAAATACTACAATTTCAGCCTAGTAAAGAATTCATACAACAATTTCTTTCTTTTTAAATGAAAGAAAAGAAAGACAATTTCCCATTTTCTGGATAAGCAAGAAAAAAGTATTTCAATAATATATAAATGTAGGAGATGCACAAGAGGGATGCAAGGTGCGTCAAAAAGTACTACAACTTCATTCCTTCCAAGTATATGAACAAGCCATACACAAGATCCATATCATTAAAGGATGGTACCACTGCACACCACCGGAAGAGAAAGCCTAAAGATAAGAGTTGAATGGACTGAATAAAAATAGCATTAAAAAAGAAAAAGAATCAAAAGGGGAAGAGGGTAAAAACCCATAAAGCAACAATTCAAGGCAAAATAAAAACATGGCTTTCCCTTTTGATCAAAAAGAATGACAAAGAAATGATCCACCAATTTGCACATAATCCACAATTCCTTGTGTTTAAGATGGTCAATCGTATACAACTTGTCAACATAGACAAGCCACATAACCCATATATAACAGACATAACAGAATCAACCCACTTTGTCATGATGCTGATAAAACAACTATCTATGGATATTTTAGATTTCACTTCCTAGTGCACCATGATCATGATGCTGATAGAACAACTATCTATGGATATTTTAGATTTCCCTTAATTTACAATAATCTTGTTGTTTACCTAACATAATTTCAATATTATATAATCAGACCCGGTATTAACTTTGTCATCGACAATAAGAAACCCACTTTGTCTTCCTATTCAACTAGCTTAAAGATTCAAAAGATTTCAAATATTATTATGCTTCACTTATCAGAAGCCAACAACACCTGCAATTCTGAAAAAATCCAAACATAGCCACCTTTTCCAAATGAATGCCTTATAGTCCAAATTAATGCAACACTTGTCATGGTGAGTTTACACTACTGTATGGTAAAGCAAAACCTAGAGCTTTGCTACCAAACTAATGCGGGATAAATATATTGAATAGAAAAAGATTAATAACATCAAACTAAGTTAGGTAAATGTTAGCCAGGTAAAATAGAATAAATATGCACTTTTTTATGGTAAAGGAATTTTTCATTGAAAAGAGACAGGAACATACACCTGAAAAAGGATAATTTATTAACAACCAAAATGAGAGAGAGAGAGAGAGAGATATGTTTCAGTGGTGTCTATGTAGTAGTCAGTTTGTTTTGTAGCTTTTGGTTTTTGTCCAATGAAGAAAAAAAAATGAGAAGTGTGTCAACATCTTTCTGAAGGGCAGGGGTAACAATGGAGTTCATGCAGGCAGGTCAGTGGAGGAGATCCTTGAAGATAGAAGCAAAGAATCTCATGTTCGAAGAGATGAGAATCAAGGGGAAGGTAAGCCTGAAGGTAAGGGAAGCGAAAAAGGGTACAATATTGCTGGAAGGATTAGAAGTGATCGAGTGGCTAAGAGAGTTCATAGCTGGAGCCTGTTCAAAAGGTAAGCAGATAAACTGG